TGCGCGGCATCATGCGCGAGATCACCCTGATTCGCGCCTTACACCACGAGAACGTCGTCGGCTACCTGGGCCTGGAGCGCGACGCGACGCGGCACCGCCTGTCCATCTTCATGGAGTACGCCATGGGCGGGTCCGTGCGCCAGCTCCTGCAGGACGGCGGCGCCTTCTCGGAGGCGCGCGCCGCGCGGACGCTGGAGCAGGTGCTGCGGGGGTTGACGTATTTGCACGCGCACGGCGTCGCGCACCGCGACATCAAGGGCGCGAACATCCTGCTCTCGGCGCCCGCGGCGCGGGAGCGCGACGTCTGGAGCTGCCTGAGCCCCGGCGGCGCGCCGAGTTTGGAGGAGCACTGCGCGTCGCCCGCGTCCGTCGTCCACGTCGCGAAGCTCGCGGATTTCGGCGCGTCGAAGCGCATCGGCACGCTCGGCGAGGACAAGTCCGTGCTGTCGGGCCTCAAGGGCACGCCGCGGTGGATGGCGCCGGAGGTCATCAAGGGCCAGATCGCCGGGACGTTGGACGGCTGGGTGCTGGCGGACGTCTGGTCCATGGGCTGCACGATGGTCGAGATGGTCACGGGCGAGATGCCCTGGCCCATGTTCCCGAACCCCATGGCGGCCATGTACCACATCGCCGACGGCAAGGCGCCGCCGTTGGGAACCTACGCGCCGACGCCGAACGCGAAGGCGTTCCTCGACGGCTGCTGCCGCGCGACGCCCGCGCACCGGTCGTCGCCCGCGGCGCTCCTGGCCCACGCCTTCATCTGCGGCGCGCCCGAGCGGCCCGAGGCCGCGCCGCCGGCGGATTTGGCGCTGGCGGAGCCGCCGCCGGAGAAGAAGGGCCGCGCGCGGCGGTCCTCGGGGTCCGAGGAGCCCGCGAGCCCGACGTCCAAGGCCATCGACCTCGCGCGGTCCAAGATGGACTCCTTCCCCATCCTCCAGAAGCTGAGGTCCGCGGCGACGTCGCTCTACGCGCGGGGGCCGAGCTCGCCCGTGAAGGCGTCCGCGCGCGGCGTCTTCGGCGCGTCGTCCTCCTCCGGCCGCGACCCGGACCCGGGCACGACCAAGGGCCGGCGCGCGGCGAAGAAGGAGAAGAAGAAGGTCCGCTACGAGAAGGCCGTGCTCAAGCAGGCCAACGACGCGCGCGCCGCGGACCCGGCCGGCGCACCGTCGCCGGACCCGCCGCCGCCGCGCGAGACCGTGTCGCCGCCCCTGGGGGACCGCGGCGGCCGGCCCCACGCGGCGGCCTCCGGCGACCAGCTCCTCTTCGGCTCGTCGGCCGTGCGCCGCGAGGCGCGGTCCGAGCTCGAGCGGCCCGTCGCGCGGAGCGTCGACCGGCCCACGCGCCACTCGCGGTCCGCGGGCGTCGAGGGCGGCGTCGGCAAGCGCCAGCTCCTCCAGCTCCCGCCCATCCGCGACAGCGGCGACCGCCGCAACATCGCGTCCGCGCCCAACCTCAACTGGGGCCACGGCCACGTCCGGCACTCGATCTAAGGCGTTTTTGATAGGTCGGGATTAGCCCTGGCGTCAGGTTTTGAGCGATTTTGCCTTTGCGAGCCCGAGGGACGATAGACGAGTGAGGTGGTTGAATAGGGAGCGTCGGCGAGCGTGGGAAGAGATCATGGACCCGGAACTGATCAAGAAGAAGCGAGAGTACGAGGCGCGAAAAACCCGTACGAAGCTGGCGCTCAACATATGCACGATTTGCGGGAAGAAGGATGCCCGGCCCTGTAAAGGTTGCGGCACGACGGCCTACTGTTCGACGGACTGCCAACGCATCGACTGGCGCGACCGGGGCCACCGGAAGGTCTGCAAGAAGATCCAGGCCGCGGAGGCGGCGCGGGCCGAGGCGCCGACGCCCCCGCCGTCGCCGCCGCGGGACGTCTTCTACGGCCCCGCGCCGCGGTCGCACGCCGACGAGGTCCGCGCGCGCATCGCGGCGGAACACGAGGCCGCTCGTGCCCGGCGCGAGGCGAACCCGGAGCGGGAGCCGGCGTCGGCGCGGTATGGGTCGCGATGCCCGATCTGCCTCGAGGACTGGAC